TCACTCATGATAATAATTGTTCTTTAATGGTATATTTTTCTCATGCTACAACGCCCTGCGGCAACTCCATATACTAAACCACACCCACATTACACCATGACCCAAGCAATACCTTTTGAACCGACTAATTATAACATCCTTTTTATTTATTTATTTTCATGCTGGCCCCTTATTTTTCATTAGGACCCTTGATCAGAACTTTGATGCCCTTTCCTTCCTTAACGCTCTTGAACGCCGCTTCCGCATCTTTGAACTCCACTGTGCCAGTGATTAATTTCTTTACGTCCACCTTGCCATCTGCTACAAGCTGTACAGCCAGCTTGTAATCTCCGCTTCCGTATCTGAAGCTACCCTTGGCGGTAAGCTCATTGACACACAATGCCATGATGGGGAATGTAATGTCTGGCTTGCCCATTCCACCCTGGACGTAAATACCTCCACGGCGGACTGCGTGGATGGATGCTTGGATGGAGGGCTCTGCGCCAGAAGCATCAATGATAGCATCAGCACCGAGAGGAAGCTCGGCGGCCTTGAGTAGGTTGGCAGCATTTTCAGTGGCTGGGACACGTGATGGTATGAAAGTGTGCGTAGCGGCAAACTCAGCAGCGAATTTAAGTCTGTTCTCCTGAATATCGACAGAGACGACTTTGCTAGCACCGAAGGCCTTGGCAACAGCGCAGCAGAGAAGACCAACAGGTCCAGCACCCATCACAATGACAGATTGACCAGGCTTGATCTCGGCCTGTTTGACAATGTGGACCGCAACGGCGAGGGGCTCAACGAGCGCGCCTTCTTGAAGAGACACATGGTCGGGCAATTTGTAGCAGAAATCCTCAGGGGAGGTATAGAATCCAGTCAAGGTGCCATCAATTGGTGGAGTGGCAGCAAAATGCATGTCGGCGCAGAGGTTATAGTGGCCGCTTAAGCAAGGTTCGCACCGTCGGCATGAGTAACCGGGCTCCAAAGCTACTCTGTCACCAACTTTGAGAGACTTCACGGCGGATCCCACTTCTACGACAGTGCCTGCGGACTCGTGGCCTAAGACCATTGGGTCTTTGACAATAAAGTCCCCGATTCGGCCCTCGACCCAGTAGTGCACATCACTACCGCAGATACCGGTGTAATTGATAGCAAGGAGGACATCATGAGGATTCTCAATCTTGGGACGAGGCTTCTCCTCAAAAGCTACGTCGAAGGGTTTGGAGAGAACGAAAGAAAGATTCTATTTTGGATAACGTGATGGTTAGCAACGGCTCATCGATGGTGGGATGCTGGTAGAGGGTAGAGGGGTAGAAATACACTAGACATATCGATAAAACTTTTAAGAAAAGGGGATTGAATGTAGAATATGGGCTGCGAGATATTGAAGCAGAGGCTGGAGGTCTGAAGAGAAAAATCTCAGTTGAGAGAGACCTGGGTGGACGACTTTTATCAACATTCTAGAAAATTGGAGCCGGCCGCGCTTGGTAGATGTTCTGGCCTTGGAGGGGTCATGTCATAGCTGCCCGGCGGGGTCTAGCAGCAGCCGTGCAGCAGCAATGGGACCCTCAGCAAATCAATTATCCGCCCAGCTCCAGCAGCAATTTACCCGCTCCAATGGCCACAAACAATTGCTGCTTCTCGAGCTATCAGTGAGAGGTGATTCCTACACGTGATATCAAATTTCAATCGTCAGCTGGATGCGGCGCGTTGCCAGTCTGGACTCCGAGCGCCGCATGCCCCAGGCAGCATTGATTACTGTAGACACAGGCCCAAATCCAGAACAGCTAGTGGGCCATGCTCTGTCAAAATTCCCCGGAAGTGTGCTGGTCTATTGTATCTGGAAAAGCCTGGACTAGAATAGCAATAGAACAAATAGCTCATAAAGGCAAGAAACAAATATATCTCAAGCAGAAAGACTAGCCATGTCGTCTCTACATGTTAGATGGAGCTGCTCTTGCCGGACACCGACCGCAGGACGTGGGACCACACTGTAGTAATCTCATTAACGCAAGACGATCTCGTATATGGATTGATGACATTGTCTCCACAAGTGAGCTGCTAGTTCGTGTACTGTATTTACCAAGGAACACTTTTCATTTTTTGTGAGAGTGCAGTGGATAGATGGTGTGGATTATCGATAGCTCCCAAGATGGTTTGATAGGGATTCAGCCTAAAGTGTTGCAGGCGGTGACGCGCGGCAGACCAGGAAATTTCTCGACGACATAGTTTGCGAGGGTTTCAACCCGCCAAAGAAGAGCTGTAGACAGCATTCAATACCAGAAAACAAACACACCAATGGATGTGGTGAAGCTGCTCACCCGCTCAACGAATCTTTCGAAGAAGGTATCAAAGGGTAAAGATGCATCAGCAATCAAGCTCCCTTCTGCCGGTAGCGCAGTGAATCCACAACTTTTCCATGACGAAGTACCGGAACTGCGAGGGAAGAAAAGAAAGCGCAATGATGTTAGAGTAGAGCAGTCGGAAGATGCAGAAGTGGAGGATGAGGAAATAGACTTCTTTGCCTCCAGATCTAGTGCCAGCAAGCCGAAGAAGAGCGGTACAAGAGACCGATCTCAGTCAGCGAAGATAGAGACAACACAAGATTCTCCGAGCCTGTTGGACGAAGACGAGTGTCGACAGACCCTGCGGTCGCATAGATTGAAAGCGACGCTGCTACCGCCAATTGACCCACCCAAGAAAGCAAAGAAGGCTAAGAAGCGCAAAGAGAGCAGGGAGGAGACTTCAAAGATCGAACCAAGACCGCTGTATCCCCAGCCTTTGGTTGAATTCCGGCACCTACAATCCACGTATGGTATTGCTATGCGACTGGGAGAGAATTTGAGGCAGCAGGGCTACAAGCTTCCAACGGAGGTGCAGATGGGCAGTCTGCCTTTACAGCTAAGACCAGCAATGGCATTAGGTACCGCGGCACAGGTAGTGGGGATATCGGGCAGCTCTGGAAACCCGAACTTGCTGGTAGTGGCACCTACTGGGAGTGGGAAAACATTGGCATTCCTGATACCTGCTGTAAATGAGATCTACCAGCAGAGGAGACTGGCCACCGAGAAGGAAAGGACTATACATAGCCTCCAGGCCATAGTTGTTGCACCGACAAAGGAACTAGCGAGCCAGATTGTGAGTGAGGCAAAGAAGCTGAGTGTCGGTATGGGGATTAGAGTAGTTGGGATGAAAAAAGGAATGCGAATTGTCGAGACAGGGGAAGAGGCAAAAGAAGGCGGTGGTGAAAACTCAGAAAGTGAGAAAGACGAGCATGAAGACAGCGAAAATGACACCAGTGATGAAGATGGGGGAGAAGTCCAGAAAAAAATGTTAAGACCGCCAGTCACAAAAGCCGACATTTTGGTCACCACTCCTTTAATACTTCTACATGCACTGGAGAAGGCCACTTCTACAGAACACCATCCACTTCCAACTGTTCGCACTCTTATCCTGGACGAAGCGGATGTCCTCCTAGACCCTCTCTTCAGAGAACAAACTCTAGGGATATGGAATGCTTGCACATCTCCCGAGCTCAAAGTTACACTTTGGTCGGCTACAATGGGTGCAAATATCGAATCCCTAACTACCACGCAAATTTCCGCCCGACATCAAAAGCTCCAGTCTACTTCTCCAACTCCAAACACAGTTCGTTTGGTAGTTGGTCTTAAAGACTCCGCTTTGCCTACAATATCCCATAGATTAATCTACTGCGCCACTGAGCCAGGCAAGCTCCTGGCTTTGCGTCAACTTCTCCACCCAACTGCGAGATCGACTAGTACAGATACAGCACTGCAGTCGTTACGTCCTCCTTTCCTCGTCTTTACGCAAACAATCTCACGCGCCATGGCCCTGCATTCCGAACTTCTCTATGATATTCCACTATCCGCAGGCGGCTCATCTCGCCTTGCCGTTTTGCACTCCTCGCTTTCTGATTCTGCAAGATCCGATATCATGAAGCGTTTCCGGTTAGGTGAAATTTGGATCTTGATAACTACTGATATACTTTCCAGAGGAATAGATTGGAGAGGCCTCAATGGAGTGGTAAACTACGATGTCCCAAATTCGGCAGCTTCTTATGTTCACCGCGTTGGACGTACGGGTCGGGCCGGCAGAGAGGGGGGAGTTGCAGTCACTCTCTATACAAAAGATGATATCCCTTTTGTTAGGGCAATTGCGACTGTTATTGCTGCCAGTGAACGTGCTGCCGGGGTCAAGGAAGAGGATAGCACTGTGAAAAACTGGCTACTCGAATCATTGCCTAAACCGAGCAAGGAGATGAAAAAGAAAGTCAAGTTGCATGGGATTGAGAGTCGAAGGACCGTAACAGGCAAGGAGAAGGATGATAAAGGGAAGAAAGCAGCGACTATCAGCACCAAAAGCGGGTATGAAAGGAAGCTGGAACACAGAAGGCGCGGAGCAATTGAAGGAAGTCGGCGAAGGAAGGAGCAAGCAGGTGACGAAGATGGAAGTGATGGGAATAGAAGTGAGGAGGAATGGAGCGGGATTGAGTGACCAGACTCTTTGTAAGGCTGTACGAATAATATTCGAGTACCCAAGAAATAGAATAATGACCTATTTTGGCCAGTGTCATAGTGAGTCCTTATAGTGAGCGTATACGATGGATTGTAGGCTTGTATAGCAGCCCATAGTTTCCATTCTTTGATTCTGACAGAATTCATCATAGCCACTTTTCTCTTTTTATACCTCGGCAACATTCTAAGATATAGGATATAATCACAATGTGGAAACAAAGGGGATTGAAATGGAACTATAAGAAGTTTCATCTGATTTGCGAGCTAATTCACTTCAGAGTTGTTGTGTATTACCTCATGGCCTGAATTACTCGGGGCGTTTTTGATTCGTTGAAAATTGACCACTCACAGCCGAATTAAGCTAAGAAGAAGATAATCCAAAAAATAAAAGAGTATCTATGAGATAGATCTTTGACTAAATAAAGAGGAGGAATGAATCTGGAACAAAAAATTGAGTCAAATTCTCGTCAAAGAAAAAAGATAAAGCGCCCCATGTGGGTCTCGAACCCACAACCTTGGGATAAACCTGCTGGTTTATTTAATTTTTAAAAGTCCCACGCTCTGCCAATTGAGCTAACAGGGCGATTAACTTGGCAGCGAATAAAATTATTGCTCCTATTGTTATTCAAAAAGCCACATGTTAGGCGTCGATATTCAAGACCGCTGATATGAGTCTAGTGGTCTCAATAATCATTCAACGTCTAAATTAATCTTTACAGTTGTAATCAGTGTATTGGTAAATAATTAGTTTTATGGCTAGAAACCTACTCAATTACAAACCCTCTACTCATTTTGACTCATAACTGCTTCTGTTTATTGGCTAAGACGACCAGATTGATGTCAGAATGTACGCACAAATAATGAACTCGAATTGCCAAGTTGGGATTAGTGGTGAATGCTGTAAGTTTCAAATATGATAATACAATTTGCTCAAATTGGACGATTCAGAGGTATTCCACCTTTCTATTATTGAATGTGTGTGAATATTTCTTGGACGTTAAGTGATTGTAATATTCTACGTAAGAATCTCTTGAGCCCACTGAGTAGTATCTCCAAGCAAAGCAATTCCATAGTCTTGTGGAAATATGGGTAAACTTCTTATAATACTGCCATAATTTCATAGCTGGGGTCTTATTCAAATACTAAAACGTCTTTACGAAACTTCTATGTCGAGTTGTGCGACGAAAGTTTTGCAGTCTTAATTTCAATTTATATTTTGAACAAATAACTGGATAGACAAATTCTTCGAGTCTTCTGATGCCGTCCGTTAACGCAAGCTTAAATTACAGAAAACATCAATATCAAATGCTCCGAAAGGGAAGAGCATGAGAGAGTTCCAAGGGAGAGAAATATTTGGGTCCAGTGTTTTCGTTTTGGAACCGGATATATCCCTGAAGGGGAGACCTTGAGCAAGGCTACCACACTACAGTGTGCGCTCACATGGATAAACCTCACTTTTCCTAGCAACCTCCAGTGGTCTTGGCAGCTTCTATATCTTGCTAAGTAAGCAAGAACCTCATACCGAACAGCAACGGCGGCCATTGTGGCAGAATTTTCAGGTCAACTTGCTGCTCTAAGAGGTGGAATACAAAAAATTAGGAATATTAAGGCTAATGAAATGAAGCAAGTGCTGACATTAGCGGAGATGTAGGCGTACGGCTGCAAGTGCAGTTGTAGGGCACGAACTCTTTTGCCATTCTAAAATCTCTATACCTTTTTATTCAGTTGGTCCAAGTATAATGACGTCCAAGGGAGAAGAGAAACTACCAACCAAGAGAATCAAAACGCCAGCCAAGCGCTCTCCCTATGATCAAGACTCAGACACGGAAGTATCTTCGGAACATGGACTCATGCTAACAACCAAGTATCTTCCTTTGATGTAAACCCAGAATCTACTTCTTGCTGATAATGCAGGCGGTCGGCATTGCCCCAGAAATCCTGCTTTGAACCGGCTAAAAAACTGAAAAGCGTAGGATATTCAATTTTTGCCTCCATAAGATGACCTAACTACCAGTTCATTTCCTTCGTAAAGTGGAGTTCGGTACATTTCCTGCAATATAGTCCAGCTCGCTGATATGGACCTAGATTGAAGATCATAGACAACAGACCGAAGCTGAACTATAAGCTGTTTCTGCGAGATATGAATTATTGGATGCCTTATGTCTCTTGAAGAGAGAAACACCTATTTAAAGGAAGAGCAGCAGAAGCGAGTAGTAAGTAATATAAACTTTGCCTGGGACAAGATTCCCAAGATCTAGTCAGATCCGGGTAACAAACGTATAGTCCTTTCTACATAGCCGAAATATCACTGACTTCAAGAAAAAGGTCTCTGGAATGCGAAGAATGAGAAAAGAGACCAATAACACCCTTAATTAATAATTACATAGGATTTTATTTGTTACACCCTAGTGATTTTCAAAGGGCAATCAACCTCAATCGAGGGCTCATGATTGGCGCTGGTAGAGAATGAGACAGAACGGTGAGAAAAAATATGGTGACTGAGACATAGCAACAAATCCAAAATACCATGACTCTTTAGCGGAGTAAAATTTCTTCGACGCTTAATTAATAGTTGTTGGTAGGAGAGACCGCCAAAAGCAATCAGTCCATCTGAAGAAAACATGGAAAGCTCTGTGATTTTTTGCCGCGTGAAATACGTAAAAAGGACAGTTATACCTATGGAAAGCATTATATTTACTCGCCTTGAGGATCCATGGCAGTCGAAGCACTTGGCAATCAGACATCCGTTGAAATGTTCCTTCGGAGAAAGAAAGTCGAACTGCCCCTCCTTTTGAGCTCCGTGTCAAACCGTGCCTTTAGAATAGTATTCTTCGTTTCAGAATTATCCTAACAGTAAACCTTGGAAGCAGAAAAAAGATCTAGATACTAAAACATGAATTGAAAGACCATGCTCTTTGACGAAATCGCCAGCCTTGAACACTGAAGTACGTTGAAACATAAGCGACGACGTCGTATTGGAAGCAAGGCTAAAATCGTATGGCACCATAAAAACATCAAAATGAAAAAAACTGAAAAAATCCACCATTTTGCCGTATATTGAATCTGTGATTGTACAGGTATACAAAGAAAATTTGTTTATCGTTCTCGTAGTCAAGAGATGAGCAAATATGTATTTTGCTCATCCATCCATTTCGTACCACAGGAACTCGATTGAGCCCAACCCAAGGCCCAAGTTCTTCCAACCCACACATCCACGCCCTTCACATCACGGTACCCCGTCTAACAAAAAAAGTATCATGCGAAAAACAAGAGCATATACATCATTGTACAACCCCCGTCTCCGTGTTTTCTGAAATCGCATCACGCGCACACACATGCAAATCCCAATGTGAGTGTCCCAGGATAATTTAGACTGACGTAAATTAATGGTGAGCGTCCGCTGTCTTGCCTCTGTATCCTACAATCTTCATCCTGCCGATCATCTCACCAACAGTGAAGAAGCCTAGTACCTCAGCGAAGATGACACCACCGGCTGCCAATTGGCTAGGGCTGATGTTGCGGACCTGGTTAATGACATTGGCAGGTGTAGTAGAAGCTTCTGCAATCAGTTTTGTTGGATCCCGAAATCTCTTGGCTAGGTTTTGGAAATATTGTTGGAATGTGGCTACTGGTCTGAATTTTAGAGGTACATGTTAGCAAGGTAAGGCGGAATATTGCGGGTTATCTTATAAGCCAAACTTACGGGGGTGCCATTTTTTGGCCATGGAATACAAGCTTTGAAAGTTCTACTCCAACGCGGGTGTAGTAAACGGCAAGAGGAATTTGTCCTGTGTTACCGGAATCAGTCTCAACCTTTCTTAATTGAGTTTCACCATCAATTGCACCAGAAAGCCTTCTTTTAAGATTAAGCAAAGTTTTGCAAGATTAAACACTTACGCTCAACAAAAGAAACTAATCTTCCAGTTCTGCCTCCGACCTTTCCTAGAGCACTTCCAACACCCTTCACAGCACCACTGATAGCCGGACCCGCCGCAGAAGCAACCTTTGTTAACCCTTCAGTAGCCTTGGATCTTAGCTCTTGAGCTTTCGCGGCGGCATCTTTAGTTGTAGAGGACTCGAGTCGACGAGCTATCGTCCGTCCGGAACCGGGGAGCTGTTTTGCCCTCAGAGCAGATCGAGAGAGTGATAACGACATGGCGGAGACTGATAGGATTGGCGTAGCACACGGGAAAAGGGGGAGAGAGGAATTGACAAAATTCCTTTGAGGGATTAGGAGGGCTGCGGGTGCGTGGTGCGATGGCAATTGCAGAGATTGAGGGTGGTGTCGTGTAATGAGCGTCGTGATACTTTTTCGTCTACCGGGAAGATTTGGGATTGCGGACGTGTTTAGTCAGCAAGGCACGAGCTTCTAGAGCGAATAGCGAGTTTCGGAGCTGCTCCAGCCTATTTCTCGTACTACCTTAAACGACACATCTTCTGGCTCCGAGATAAATCCATTTATCGTTGACCTAACTGTTTCATAACATTACTGTTCAGTGATGTATTCTAAGGCTATATGATACTAAGGTAAAAAGATCTAGGTCGCTTTCCAACTACACAATCACTCTTCGCTCTTTATCTGTACCTTAATAGCACCTGTCTTGGGATCTGCGGCCGTCTCGAACGCCTTCACTGCGTCCTCTAGGTTGAAACGATGGGTAACCAACTTCTTCATGTCAATTACGCCGGATTGTACGAGTCGGATAGCTCGTGGCCAGGTATTGCAATATCGGTACTGAAACTGTAGGTCAATTTCCCGCACACTTAGTCGCATGAATGGGATATTCATCTCATTCTTCCCAACTCCAATCACGAAGACCTTGCCGCCAAACTTGACGGCCCAGATCGCCGTCGACACACTAATTTCGACACCTGTGCATTCAAGAGCGACTGCAGGCTCAATCCCCCCAAATTTCTCTAATATAACCTTTGCGGATTCTTCGGCGGACACCCTCTCGACTTTGTGTGTGATGACGGACGGGACAAGCTCCTTCGCAAACGCCAATCTTCCCTCGTCGATATCTGTAATGACAAGGGGGCATGCTCCGGCGGCTTGACAACACAGCAGCGAGATGAGGCCAATAGGACCAGCACCGCAAATGAGGACGGGATCTCCCAACCTGACTCCAGACCTCTGCATAGCTGCCAACGCTACGCTCAAGGGCTCCAGCAGAGCGCCATCTTCAAATGACATGTTACCAATTTTATGACACCATATTGCTGGATGGTTTACGTATCGGCGGAGCAGTCCTGGGACTGGTGGGGTGGACAAGAACAAAACTTTCTCGCAACCATTATATCTTCCCGTGAGGCACGGTTCACACTCATTGCAGATAATGTTGGGCTCGATGGCAACCCTATCTCCCACTTTCAGGTGCTCCACCGAGGGGTGGACAGCCAATACTACTCCGGCCGATTCGTGCCCAAGGATGTGCGTGTCTTCAACAATCATGGGACCGATGCAGCCAGCATGCCAGAAGTGCACATCAGAACTTTTGTTTTTCTGTCAGACACATCTGGTGAAGAACAAGGGGCTATTCTGAACTCAACTCACCCGCAGATTCCAGTGCTCTTGATTGCCAC